AAGTAGATGCCACAATGTCTCATAACCTAGCCGCTAGTCTTGTTGCACATTAGGCGCGGGCAAAAAGACTATAGTCTTTCTTTGGAAGTATAATAGGTTTGCTTCAATCTACACGTATATAGCAAAAGGGAACCTTTATAGTCATAGTGGGTCGCAATGGAGTGGATATTTTGATGTTATTTTTGGATATATCTTCTCTTGGTATTTCTCTCCTCTCTTCTCTATTCTTCATAGTAACCACACCTTATCTTTTCAGCCTATCAGACTTGACAGCAGCACTCATTACCTAATACATACACACTGTATTATTTGTAGCCCTAGCTATTATTGCTTTTTCTTCAACCGTTTAGGCACATTAGAGCCTCACGCGATAAGGGGACAGAGAAAGGTGTAAGGGGTGGGACCTATGGGAATGGCACGAATTTCGGAGTTGCATTGCAGGGAGCTTGCGCAGGAGTTTCATCACACCATTCAAGACCGACTTTGAAGGTGTTGATAAGGCTTGTTTTGGTTCACCGGCCGGAATGATCGGAGCGAGGCACGTTGATTTTGCTGTCTCCGGTCTTTCTCCCAGAATCCCTCCCAGCGTCTCCCTCAGCTTCAGTTACAAGTAGAAGTTCGCGAGAACCTGAGGTAAATCAACAATCTAAATTAATGAGCATAAGTTTATTATTTTAGAAAAAAGAATAACCATTCAAAAAATATTAGCTACCTGAATACCTTAGAATACCATGGCTGGAAACTGGTGGTATTTGTTAAGCCACAAACAGATATTCAACACACCTCCACTTTTCTCCAAGGACAAGATGCCCGAGAGTCCCCGCCCGCCCCATAGCGCGGGCCGCTAAAGTGCGCGCGTACATATGTACATACGTTAGTACGTTGGTACCTAATTAATTCACACAATACAAGCAAGTAGCACCCCATGTGGTGCTGACTGGTCCCCTGGTGGACCCTGAATTTAGAAGCACAAAGGGTCCTTTGGGGGGGGGGGATCGTTCCATCCAGATTTTCCAAGACTTGCTCCACCCAGGGTCGTGCCACATTCTACACATTTTTGCAGTTGTTTGGAGGGGTCTGTCGGACCTGTACGACAAATTTTTGTGTTTTTTGTGGTTGTGTCTTTTTTTCTCCTGTGGTTTCTCTTGTGGTTGCTGAGAATATTCAGAGGGTTTTCCTGTTTGGTCTGGTCCAGTCTCGTCTCGTTTGGTCGCGTCTACGCTTTCTAGATCGCAACGCCGATTTCCTGACAGGCATTGTTATTGATCGGCATATACGAACTTGTTGGCCGCTCCTCTAGGGACTACGATCGCATCCGAGTATCGAGAACGGGAACTAAACTAAGAACTAAGAAGGCTTCCCGTCGATCACCGACTTCTTTTCAAGCTACGTCGTCCCAGTCACTCAAAATCTTGATTCAAACTTCAAACAAACGTCGTACTTAGTGCTCCCATCTGGCGTTCGTCTGGTGCTCGCCGCGCTGATCTGCGGTCAGCTCCCACTCGACAGGGTACGATAGAATCTACCGACCCCTAAGCATGACGTGCCCCTGATTAGAAGTGCGGTCCATTCCCCACACACCGTTGCTCAACCCCCTATACGGTATCCATTCTCGATTCCTACGTGCAAAGCACTAACGGTGCCTGAGTGATGGACGAGTCCGAAGAGGAGATCGACACTCGGATCGAGTCGCTTCTGCGTCAGCGCCAATCACTGACGGATGAACTTCTAGCGAGTCCATACGACCTCGTCCTCTATATAAAGCGCGCGTTGGTATACGCCGACCTAGCTTATCCCGACTTAGCAGCTGGCGATGCTTACCGCGCGCTATTGTTGACCGACGAGGTTCGCGATGAGAGCTTCGAGTACCATGATCGAGCCCTCGATGCTCTGACAAGATACACGAACGGCCCGTTATTAGAAGTCCTAGATTACGGATCTCTGTCGGGAAGCCAGTCTCGTCTGCCCGAGTTAGATAGCGGCACCAAGGATACAACAGCCCTCGCTTTGCTTGCATCTATCCGTTGCTATCAGATACTAGCCTTGAGCCTCTTATTATGCGGCAGTTTAAAGAGCGCTCGCAACTTCTGCGAGCGAGGACTAGCCATCGCGTCGCATAATCAAGAGCTTCTTAACACACAGAGCTACATTCAAACCATGGCCGAGCGAAGAATCCGCAAGTTAGTCTCCAGCGTCAATGATCTTCCAGATTGGGGCATGGTGCGCAGAGAAGTCTATCCTTGGAACAGCTACGAGCCCGATCGGTTTTCCGACGAGTCCTTAGCCATTCTCAACACTGAGCTAGCCAAGATAGCACCAAAATGTACTATCCAAGTTGCGCAGTTGCCTGTACTGCTCGGATGTCCGAGTCGCACGGATGGCTATGATATAATTCCGACGTGTAGCCAACTCGGCATCTTTGCCAAAGATGACATCGCGCCAGGCGAAGAGGTCCTTGTAGAGTACTCGTTGGTGACAGCAACCAACCGCCTCAAAGAATCTGTTTGCGATGCTTGCAGCGGCGAGCTCCCGCCACTGGGAAGTGAGTCGACCGCCGTCAACTGTCCAGAATGCTACGACACTGTGTTCTGCGATCAGTATTGTTTCGAGCAAGCCCAAGGTCTCTATCATCCAGCCGTCTGCGACAAGGACGTCGATTCAATTGCCAAAGAACCTGATCCGAAAGAAGCCGACGAAGCCCTCCACCTCTTACTGCTTGCACGAGTTCTAGCCATGGCGGCTCATCAGGAAATACACCCTCTTGATGTCGATCAAATCAAGTACATTTGGGGGGATTTCGTTTCTTCCAAGACCAATGAGATTGATTTGTCGCCCAATGCCGGCCCACCTCCTGATTGGACACTCCCTTTCTCCTTTGCTTATAACATCGAGACGCCCCTACACATCCTCGAGAAAATGGACATCGACATCTACGCTACCCTCTCCCACTACGACATTTGGGTCTTCAATACGCTCTACAGCAAGTTCCGCGGCACCGCATCGGCCCGCAAGAACCCGAGAGACGGACGGCCCGACGTCGCTGCCGTTCATTCCTTCTGGTGCCTTGCCAACCACGACTGCAACCCGAATGTCGGCTGGGAATGGGGCGGTCGAATGGTCTTGAAAGCGCGCGAGAGAAGAATCGTGGGCGACGCCCCAGGCGGCATAAAAGCTGGAGAGGAAATCCTCAATCACTACTGCGACGTGACCCTACCTGTGCAACAACGTAGGGAGTGGGCGAGCGGTAGCCTCGGGGGCTGGTGTATGTGCCGCAGATGTCGGGAAGAGGCATCTCAATCTGAGAATCACTCTCCTGGATGATTGTTCGGAACACCTCGTTCAATCCACGCCAGCCAGATTTCAAGCAACACTTACATTGCGGCGATGGGTCTGGTTCTTTCATGATTATACACGTGTCATGACTGCCGACTCGGGGACTCTCTCTCCACTCCGCTTCGAAGCGCCTTGCAGCACAAAGCAGTATCGTCGTCTTCTTCCCCGAGCAGACACGCCATTCAACATCTGGGGAGGTATCAGCAGCAAGACCATTCAAGATAGACGGACTAACCCTCGACTCTGCTTCGAATTCTTGACAGTATCAAGGCGAATAGGGCGCCAATCCCACACCTATTCGGCCTTGTAGCGGCGACGCTCGAAGTCGGAGATGAAGCGATGATCCCCACGCGCCATCTGTTTCTCTTTCGAACCTTTGCTCTTTCAGATTCTATCTGGTTACTCTTTTTCCTTGCGCACACGAACTATAACCGAACCTCCCCTCTCACCCCCCTTCCCAGCTTACGAATATCATATAGAAGGGCATCGAGCATAGTAAACGAAGGAGGGCGTGGATCTATTTTCGAAGATTTAAGCACAATTATGGTCTCATCTATTTTAATCAGTAAACGAATGATACCAAGAATAAAAATTAGAAACAATTCTAGATATATGCTATGGGACACATATAGGCATTCCTTTATTGTCTACGTGTATCGTGACGTATCGTGTGACCTTTAAAAATGACCTAATTCTACGCATGTACTGTACATGTGGTCTCACGATATAATCTGCCCACCTACATTCTAAAGAACTAATACATACATACATATGTAGTAAGAAAGGTCGAAGTAAATCCACATGGTAGGTACATAGCTTTGCATGAGGTTTCCCCGGTTATTCTGTCGAGGTCTTAGCTTCTTCAAATAGGAAGGGCCTGGGTAGGTAGGTAAACAACGAAAACGAGAATATGTACCTGTATCTAGGTAATTGTAGGACAGTTAATGGCATAGTTAATAGGGCAGCCGCAGGACAGCCACTAGATAGTTAACTTGACAACTTATTTAACGAGATTGTCCTATTAACCTGACTGCTAAGTTAGCTGTTTAGCAACAGGGTCCAGTAGGGCAAGGGTTGCGGCAGCTGGAGCAGCTGGGATAGCTGTGACAGGTATGGTGGTAGGAGCAACTGTGGTAGTTAAAGCAGTTGGGGTAACTGGGAGAGCTGAGTACCTAGGTCCCTATAATAGCTATAGCAGCTGGAGTAGATGGGATAGCTGGGATAACTAGGGTAGCAATGGTAGCTATAGCAGTGGGCAGGTAGAGCAGTAAGAGAGTCGTGTTGACAGTCTAGTTGGCACGTTCATCGCCTTTTCTATGAGAAACCTCAGGTTATTGTGTCACCTGGAACGTGGTGACCTCCGGTCCAACTTATTCTACTCAGATGGGTCCTATAATCTATGTTAAGGTGGTAACAGATGTGGGAAACATGGAAGGCAACAATGCCGGTTGCCAGGTTTTTTATTACTAAGATAGGTATTTACAATAATACATACCTAGGTAGTCATCAGCCTCATGGAGATAGGGGGTAAGGAGGCTCAAGGAAGAAAAGGGGGCGCAGCAAAGATACAAAACCGCCAAAAAGGGGACAAAAGAAAAAGAACTAAATAGAAAGGTCAACTCGTCGTCAGCGCGAACGCTCGACCTCAGCTGCCCAAAAATATATATTGCACCCACCGGGACTTGCACCCGGGCCCCTCCCTTCCAACCGCTCCGCCAATGGGTGAGGAGTGAGTTAACTTCTTCTCTATGGGTGCCTTCCATCTTCCCGTTGTTCTTGGAACATGGCTGTTGGTAGTTTGTTATGCCTTATAAGGGACTCGGCCGGGGGAGGGCGCGGGATGTTTTGCCGAAGTGGCAGGCACGGCTTGAACGGGAGAGAGGCAGAGAGGGAGGGAGGGAAGGCACGGAGGTGCCACATGAGCGTGAGGAGGGCGGACTAGACTGGACTGGACTGGGTGTCACTTTGGTGAATAGGGGTACACTCCACGACGACGGCCACCAAAGGGGCGGTGTCAGTGTTGTGCTTAATGTATATATTCTACCTTTACATCTATAGACACTCTACCATCTATCTCTCGCCTTGAAGATGTCTGTATGTTCAGCTGGATAATCTCTCTCATGGGTTATGGCTGGCCCCTTTTCAAGGTGCTTCCTTTACATCCCATTCACTATTCGATACTACTACATGCCCCTACCTAGTAAGTCTGCTTTGGGTACCCATATATAGAGCATATCCATACTTCATGATAGTAAAATATATTCTTTTTTCTTACAAGCAAATGAACAAAAAGCCCCTTTTCTGTGGCGGTAGCATAATAGAGCGCATGCATGCTGGTAACTCAATGAGTAGAAGGTAGAAGAACTACTCGCCAAGCCGAGACACCTCAAAGAAGTGCTAGATTAGCTGACTGTCTTCTATTTAGAACATCCTACTGCCTACCTACTAAAGGGTTATGATGGGCCTTAGTTACAATATCACTAATAAATAAACAAGGTCACAGCATGCAGCACTACTAAGGGAGTCCTGAGTGTAGTCACAGTATCTACTAGTCGCTGCAATGAAATTTCTTACATCACATCAAGGAGCACTTAGGAATCTTGGAGATCGATGGATCGCTTTGTCTCATTGATGACTACCTGATAACTACCTCAGTAGCGAGGGGTATTGGTTACATCTACATTCATTTCATTGTAGTAATACTCTCCCCAAAACGTTGAAGCAACTAACACACACCAAAAAAAGTTCGAAAGGCCAACGCAAAGCTGTAACCTCCGCTGAAACCTGAATGACGAGGCAAGCCATATGAATCATTTTCCATCGTGAATGTAGGATGTTTCGGGATAAAGATAGTAGAGAGGCCTCGGGAAAACATGATAACGTGATAAAGTATGATAAAATGAAATAAAACAGAGAAATTTTTGGTCATCCCCTGCATCTCGAACGCCTAACCCCTTATGTACAGCTACCCTGGCCAAGCTGGTAAACCTTTTGTGTCTCCGCTTACTGCAGAGGAAGAGCGGGATACGCCGGTTGGGATGGTGGCCGCGTGGGGGAGTCGATCTCCATATCGCTGGAGCTTGGGCTCTCCATGTCGTACTCCTTGCGCTTGAGACGGTCGACGATGTACTCCCTGAGGTATTCGATGATACGAATGTGCTCAAGCCACGCTTCGTACGCCTGATCCTCACGGGCCTCAGCACTAGCCTCGGACTCGGCAGATGGTGAGCTGACAGCGGATATGGCAGACTCTGGAACCTTGGGAGGGCTGGACAGCTCACGTAGCTCACGATCCAGGTGAGGACGAGGGCCAACACTGGCGCGCTGAAGCATGCCACCCGAGTAACGGCGGCGAGGATCTGTGTCAAAAGTGGGACCTAGCGTGGATGTGGCAGACTGGCCGGGGTAGCCCGAGGTTACCGCAGGAAGAGTCGGGTACAATGCCGACGTAGTGGAACTGTGTCGAGTGGACGGAGACAGACCAGACGAAGAGGCACTCGGGGAATGGCCAGAAGTATACGACATGGTGCTTGAGGGAGGAGTGACGGCGGGAGTGCCATTCGAGTGAGTGGAGGAAACTGCAGTCAACGGGGATGCTACGTGGGCAGCCGAGTACGCGTTATTGGCCATAGCAGACTGAGGTGGTGCTGCAGAATGCGGCGGAGACTGGCTGTGACGGAAGTTGAGAGGCAGGTAGTGGGAACCAGGCTGGTGGACTCCGGCAGCGGCCGCAGTGTTAGAGCTTTCGTAGACCGTGCTCTGCATCTGCTCGAGCATCTGGTCAATCTGAATGAGATCACTCTTGGTGCGAACATTCGGCATGGGAGGCAGGGAGTAATGCTGCTGGTAGGGTCCGTGGCCAGCGGGGCCATCAACAGCCATGACAGCGGGGCTTGGCAGGTACTCGGCGCCGAGAGAACCAGAATGGATGGGAAGAACTCCGTGCAGGGGCATAAGTCTCTGTCCGACCTGAGCATACGAGTTCGGATCGAGCTGGCGACGCTTGGCATCGCCGAAGAACTCATTCAACACATCATAAGTGCGCTTGCGGTTGTCATATTCATTGGCGGAGGCCTGGTAGCCCATGTGATCACCTCGACCACCCATAGGCTGGTAGTACATGGGACCACCAAACGAAGTCTGGGAGTGGTGCTGATAATAGCTACTTGGGTGGCCACCGGGATGAGGCGGCTGACCAAAAGCGGCCGAGTTAGTACGGATCTGACCATTATGATCATAATAGCTGGACGGAGCTACGAGGCAAATTAGCCTCTAAATGAGGAAATTCCAAACAAGCGGAGACATACCTTTGCCTTGAGTACGGTAGGCGCCGTTCATGGGTCCATGCTGATCCGGAGAACGGACCAGGACGGAATCGTCAGCATGAGTCTGTGCTTGAGAGTTAGCTGATGTTCGGCTGGTCAAGTGAGAATGCGTTTTGTCGGGGATGCGACGTTGCGTACCTTAACATGCTTCTTCAGATCTTGGGGGCGCTTGAAGGACTTGCCGCAGAAGTCACACTTATGCGGCTTCAAGGGAACATGGACGCGAATGTGCGAGGTGATGTGGTCACGCTTCACAGTGGTGGTCTTGCATTGATTCCACTGGCAAGTCAAGTTGAGGTTGTTAGTGCTCTTGCGACCAACGTGCTTCTCGCAGATATGTTCCTAGAAGCGACCGTTAGTCTACGATATTCCACCGTTGCAACAGCATAAAATCGAATTATTAAACTTACGTAGAGATTCTCGGCTGAGTTGAATTTGTCACTGCAGCCAGCCCAACGGCAATTCAACGGGTCGTCTTGAGCGGGAGCGCTAGACTGCGAAGTTGCAGTGGTGGCAGTTGAAGGCGCTGGTGTGGTGCCGTTGGAGGCAGAACTCTCTCCACCCGACTGGATAGGGTTGCTCTCGGGTGCTGCCGACATGGCTCGGACTCGGACTCGAAGATGGAAGATAGATGGAACAAAGAGAAATGTTCTTCACGTGACAGTGAATGATCGGACCGGAAAAGGTTTGTTGCAAGAAAAGATCACGTGGAAAAGAGGGGATGAACTCGGGATATTATTTATACCAAAATCACGTGAGTCAAGGGGGAAGATTTGATCCGATCAGGTCAAAAAGGGGTAAATTTCGGTAAAATAACTCGAAATTTCTCTTCTTGGCTGGGAGGTACCTAGGTATAGTCTTGGCGGGCCAAGTTCGGTAGCATGCGACTAAATTGGCTGGAATAATGACTAAAACAGTAAAATGGGTCTTTTGTGTAAGTGATGGAGCGTGAAAGTCGTGAAAATTGTGCTTCCTAGAACCCAAGAAGACAACAATATTCAGATTCAATTGCCAAAGGAGCGGAGGAGAGAAAGCCACGCGAGGACTAAGGAGAGGAACGACCAGTTTATGTAAATCGAGCAGTCTTGTTCGCTCCTTATTATGGCCGTTTGACCTTGGCGATATGAAGGCGGAAAGTCTTGGCATCGGTCTTGGGTGTAGCGGTCGATTATCGATGATTGGCCGGCGGGAAATGGGGGCAAACGACTTAAGTACCTAAACCCGAGAGTGACTCGGTCTATAGTGGATGGTTGTAGCCAAAGCGCAGTAACCCCTCCTCAGTCGAGACTTATCTGCCAAGACAATGCCAAGCAGCGCCAAGAGCTTGGCATTTGATGATTGTCTCGACATATCTGCCCAGAAATGCTTATGGTTGCTTGGAAGAACCTTGGCCGCTGGTTCCTCCTGCGCCGAGACTCGACTGCGCCCACTTTCCTAGTGACCTCTGTTCTTTGTTCCTTCAAAGTCCGCACTATTTCTCGTCACAAGTCAGTGATCATTGCCTTATTACGTATCCAGACTGCCTGGGTGCTACTCACACTAGGAGAGAAGGTGTTAGCCGCGTTAAATACCAGTTCCGTAGGTGCCGTACCTAATTAGGAGGTAGTAGTCAATTCAGCTTCTTTACATCCGTCCGTGACACGACGCTCTATCTTGATTTGCATATTGTATGAAGAACGAAACTCACTCTTCTATCTCTGTGACTTCTCTTAGTGTACGTACCAGTCCTCTTCTTTCTCTTAAATTCTCAAAAATGACAATTAGAAATTGATTTATAGATACAACCTCACAGTGATTAAGAGGCACATCATGCTCGTCTTTGCCTCATCGCATCAACTCTGCACTTCCATTCTCCCGGTATCGTAGGCCACACCGAGAGACTGTCGTCTGATATTGTTGTGGCAGCGGAAAGAAATCTTGGAACTTCTTGGTATAATTGGCAAGGTGTTCACTTTGAGAGTCGTGGTCGACGCTCCGCTGGTGGCCAAGCCTTGGTCTTCCTCTCCGCCCGCCAAGTCCTTGGCCATGCACTCATTAACTACCTCTCTCCATGTCGGCAACGAGGATACCGAGTCCAGATAAACGACTTGTCAACTACCTACTTCGTCTATGTTCGAGAAGTACCTGCGGTCTAAGCTCGGGCAGTCGACGCGCCATCAGACGGCCCAATCCGCTAGATCTTTCAGAAAGATGTCCATAGAAATTCATGTTTCTATTGCACAGCCATCTCCCGAATGCCCGAACCAGATGGATTGAAAAAACTAGCGACGGTAAGATGCGGAAGCTGGATTTGTCTCTTGCCATGTTCGGCACTGCGACCATCAGCTGGTGCGTCTGAGAGAATGACATTGGACAAAACAGATTTCATTCGCCACTCGGTGAAGCTTTCAAGCCAATTCCCATTGTCCTCCTACCTTCGGTATTCTATCTT